AGAAAAATTTCTTGGGAAAAATCTCTTGTGTCGAAAACAGAGGGGGGTAGGTGTTTATTTATAGATAATGAAGGGGTGCGAGTGAAGGGATGTGACCCTTCAAGTGGGTGGTTACACCCCAACCATTGCAATGGTTCAGTGAAGGGATGTGACCCTTCAAGTGGGTGGTTACACCCCAACCATTGCATCGGTTCGCCATAGTAGTTGGACCGGTTGGTTCATTCCAACCGCCACATCGGTTCGGTCCGATTCGGTTCAACTTGGTTTAACCAATAACTCACCAACTATTGGCTTCTTCCCCTTTCATTCTCATTCACACCTTTCAAATCCCAACAGCAAGACGATCCACTAAAGAAAAACGTGAATAAAGTATAAGTAGCTAGAAGTTTTACATATTTACATTGACTTTCAGGATACTGACAGTGGCAGAATCATGAATCTGAAGGATGGAGGATTGACTTGAACCGTAACAATTGGAGAAATGAGGGGGTCTAAAGTCTTACCGACTACTCTATTCCTAAATTTGTTACCAATTGTAAATTTAATTTACCTGTATTTTGAATTTTGAGAGGGGTTGTAGCACCTCCTGCCTTCAATTCAGCTCTTCTATTGCCTACTGAACTTGCCCAAAGAATAGGTAGTGATTGGCAATTTGACTTGCAGCCTTTCTGGAAGGTGACTGACTGCTGGTACCCTAAGGCTATATACCTCATCGTCGTCGTCACGGTCGAAGGAAATGGCGCGTTCAGGGAAGATTTCTGGATTTTTGAACGTCAAAATATTGTTTTCTTGATAAGCTAGAACGTTGAATTAGTGGTAAAAGCTATTTCGTCATCCTCCGTCGAGAGTTATGTTGCAGCCTCTTACGTATAACATGCATGCATGAGACGGTTGTTTCAGAGGTTGCAGTGAAATTCAAAGCTCGACAATGGAGACTTGAAGTTGCGAAAAAAATCTGGAATTCAAACTCCAGTTAATGCTTTCTACAAGACTGGACTGTTTCTACATAAAGCTAAAGGACTTATCCTTTGGCACACACTACGAAAAGATATCAGGCCCAATTCTTATTGGGCCTCCGAAGCACTCAACTAGCTTAAGCCCAAGCATCGGATGGTAGGATCAAAGGATGGGTGTGAATTGTGATTGATTACCAACACACTTCCGAGTCCGACGGCCTAGCTAACTCTGCCTTTCTCTTTCGGTGTTATTTTCTTTCATTTTCAATCACTTGGACATTCTTTTTTGTGATTATTAAAGTCACGCTTATGCAAGTGACTTATGTAATTGTAACGTCTCTTTCAACATTTCAAATGATTTGAAACAGTAATTTTCTTTTTAACATAGTATCAAAACCTGGTTTATCAATAGATTTTTTTATTTAATTTCCACCATCCAAATATTTTTTAAAAAAATGATCTAAAATTAATATAAATTTCAGACCATTTAATTTTTTTTTTCATAACTTAATGATCTCTACATGCTATAGACGATGGCTCGCTTTAATTACAATGTTGCTACGATTTGAAGTCAGATTATCTGTTGCTGATTGTAAGTCATGGGATATCGCTCGTCTAAAAAATTTTCTTTCCAAATTAGATTAGGGTTAGATCATGTGAGAAAGGTGCTATATATTCTTTCACCATCTATGTAATTTGTATCTTCTCAAATTTAGTGAAACTGATATCTTCTCCCCATTAATTAACTGTACGTACACATCATATTAACGAACAATATATATTCTTTACTTTCTTATCATTATCAATTTCTCTTTTCCGTTCTAACATTCAACTTTTGAGATATTGCTATAATAAGTTGCTTCCATTTATGGTTTAAAATAGTACACCGCCATGCACCCAAATCCTTTAGATCGATTTCTATAACTAGTATATTACTTTTGGCCACAATCTCGACCAACCTTAGACACTATAGTATATAACAACGTAGTGGCCGGATTATTATCAACTCGTAAACAATTTCATTTATATCAACTCCCTAGGTCGCACTTAATTGCTAATTAAAAAACTATATCAACTCCCTAACACTCTTTGCCCCTCTATCTATCTATGTGGCCATTTCGACATCAGAAGGCAACATACATACCATACGTAGTGGAAATTCTCCATTTCGTGGAGGGTTGACTTTTGTTTTCACTACTAAGTGATCGTAATGAATATATCTATCTAAAACATGCACCATTTGCTAGCTACATAGAGTTGATTAATTATGGCGGCCCAGCTTAATTCCCAGCCACTTCATAGTTTTATGCGCCATTATAGAGTGTTATGCAATTATGGTGGAGATATCCTATTCCTCTCAAATTATATATTCATAATATCACAATGTGGAGCCAGCCTTTCGGCTTTCTATATATACTTAGCTTGGTTACACCTCTTCTCTTACATCCAAACACAGTGAAAATATATATATATATATACATGCAAGCTTATGCTCTTTGTTAAAACTTGCTAGACAACTAGCGACGATGGTGAGAGGTTTGGCGGCGGTTGCTGCGCTTCTGCTCATGCTGACGATGATCAGCTGCAGCGGCTTGGAAGCATCGAGGAAAGTCTTGGTCGGAAACCGGAAGCTCGAACCGGGGCAAGGACGTCTCATGGTTGCTGGCGGTGGAGAGAAGAGCTACGAGATACATAGACAGCTCCAGGTTGATGATGACGATGATGATGATCGTCAGGGGAATAGTAATGGCGGGAAGAGTACTGATGATGAGAACTACAGTAATAATAAAGATAACAATAATAATACGAATCATCACAACGGTGGCGGTGCTGCCAACCGTGGGCCAAGCACGGTGAACAATCACCACTACATACCCCGGCAGGATTTCAACAACTACGGCGGCGATGGCGGCGGCGGAAGTGGTTAATGGTTCGTGTGACTGGATGACCGGCCGATAAGCCTTAATTCTACTTGCGTACTAATAAGGAATTAATGTTTCCATGCTCTGTATGTGTGCATGGCCTTCTTGTATGGCTTTATATATGTGTAATAACATATAATAAGTAGTTGTATATAATACTTGTATCGTATATATATAATATGGATCCACATATATTGTTGGAGATGAATTGGAGATGAATTCAATCACTATATATATCTAGATTGTCACCACATATATTGTTCGAAATTCGTCAGAATTCAATCACAAAGGAATGATTTTGTGTGAAATCCAACAGAAAAAAATTTAACCAAAATCCCTCATCCCAATTCCAAACCAAATATGTACAACTTCACCCCCTCTGGCCTCTGCTCTGAATGGAATAAGTTGGGGCTGGATTTCTACTCTTGTACAGAATCCACAGAAAGAAGCCGAAGGTTTTCAAGCTTGAGTCTACCAAACCAAGCCGATAAAGGCCTTTCAGAGTTCAATCCCTGCAAGGCCCATTGCCCAGCCAAAGGCCCAATTAAGCAACCCTCGTGTGGAAGCGCAAGCTCCGACTCCGAACAAATGTTTTGATAGTTGATACTTGATACCAAGAAATGGAACTATGGAAGAGGAAACTTAAACCATGGATGTAATAATTAATAAGAAACGGATTTCAATTGTCCCTTTGGTGTCAACTCTATGTTAATTTTTTCTTCTTCTTCTTGCAATTATGTCATAAACCGGATAAACCTATTAGTATCAATAACTCAAGTTGTTAGGAGATACACGCCCCCTCAAACGAAAGTCAACTCATGGGCTTAAAGTTTGCACAGGCCCACCATACCATGCAGTGGTTGAGGCTGCATTTCATACCACCCCTGTCCTTTTTTCATAACTTAAAAATATAAGTATCTAATAGAATAATTATTTAATAAAAATAATTATATCCGAATAATTCATTCTTAAATTAAAAATAACCGATTATACAATCATACTTTTCAGAAACAACTACGAAGGAATTTCATATAGTGAAAGAAACGCAAAAACATTCATTGTCTACACTATTATATAAGTCTCTTTCAATATATCTTACTAAATAAGTATTAGCAAACTGGTCGCCAAATCCACTTGGAAACTTGTTCTTAATATAACTCAAAGCTGAAAATGCTCTTTTTACACTTGCAGTTGTAATTGGTGGATCAAAACTAGTGGGATTGCCGTTGTCGCTAGACAATTTCAGGGTTATTGAGGAAAAGATCGAATAGGCATAAGGAGAAAAGAGACCCGATTAGGTCTTTATTGCAATTAGAATTTCATTTATAGTATAATAAATTAATTTTATGTCAATTTTAGACAAGTAATGAGTTGTGTTGTAGTAACAAAGTACTCTAATACTACCTATATGTGTTGTGTTCCATCACCAATATAAATATATATGGCTTATTTTTGTTCCACCGAAGTCCCGGGACAAGGCCCAAAGGGCATGCCTCCGCCACTGATACCATGTGCTTGAAAAACAACGGTTAATATTGGAGGTCATGAGGACTTGAACACGTGACCTAACAGACAAACCAACTTTGATACCATGTCATAAACCAGTTAGTCTCAATAACTCGAGTTGTTGAGAGAAGGTTATGTTGGATCTTATACATGCCCATATATGATACTTAATCACTTCCTTATGATTTCTCCGAGTTATTACTCCGAAGTCAGAACTTTCAGTAAAGTTGCGACAAAGGAGCATTCGACAGAGGATATGGATAAGTAAAATGCTCCCCCATCCCTTCTGAGTTCTGTCTCGTCGATTGGCATATTCACCGTAAAGTCAACTGGTACACAATGTGGGTTTTCCCTATTTCTAGTGCAAAAAATCAATCAACACCAAATCGATCTTAATTTCCATTCAAGTACTCCATCATCACTTGGTTTTGACATTTGTCACCCCACCACTCAATCTTGCCTCATTTGGTGCCCAATGTGATCATATTCCCCTCACTCACCCATGATCTAGCTAGCCCTTCCACATAAACCCTAGCTAGCTTGCTATATATACATAGGCCATATCATCACTAACACTTCCATAAACCCTAATATCGCACTATCTCTCTCTCTCTATAAATACACACCTAGAGGTTCTCCTTAGTCCGTGCACCAAATCAATCCACTTATTGCCTGCTAGTTTCATATAATCCATTCACTTCTAAGGTTGGTACATTAAAAATTCAGAGGCGATTCGAACATGAGAGCTCTCGATGGTTATTCGGTGGAAGTCAAAGATTGAATCTCATTTTTTTTTTCTTTTTTTCATTCATTGGTCATGTGATTGTTGTACGTGTGCAGAGATGGAAACCAAAATGAACGTTAAGATCAAGCTTAGGTTTCTTCTGGTAGCGGCGGTGGTGACATGGATGATCCTAACCGCGGGAACCACTTCCGCAGCTGAAGACTACCCGAAGCTCAACTACAACGGCGGCGGCGCCGACAGGAAAGTTCAAGATAATCAGGATGACGCAGTAAGTTCGGCCGGTGGCAGCGTTGCCACCACGACGGCGAGCAACCACCACTATATACCGAGGAAGGACTTCGGCCAGACCGGCGGAGATGGCGGCGCTCACTAACTCCGCCTGTTGCATTTCACAAAAAGCCATCGCCCATCTGTGTGCGTAGTATGTGGTATAGTCATTATGCATGGTAGTAGTCGTGCATATAAACGTACGTAAGTAGTATTTGTGTTATTATTATATGATAGTCTAATAATAATCTGTAATCATGTATTATATATTAAGAATAAACGTGTTGGATGAGTATACTTAACTCATTCTTAGTGTATACGGTGGCTTAGCATATATATGTAGCGAAGATCTGAAACAGACGAATAATTTCATGTAAAATAGAATTTACCAGTAAATCTGATCTTTGGTTTATCGGGACGAACAAATAAGGCCCGTATTGGGCGGGCCTATGATTATGAATCAATTTGTGAGCCAGACAGCCCATCGCGAGACGGACAGTAAAGGGGCCTCAAGGCCCGCCCGATTAAATTATTTTATTTCCTCTTTTGTGATGGAGAGAGTGGGAGACTGGGAGCATATAAGCTGGACTTTCTTAACAAAATAATTGGGAAATATAGTAAGAAATAGCTTCTTTTAAATGTATTTTTTTCATGTTGATGTGGTGTCAAGACTAGCACCTAAGTAATTTGTAAAATTGAGCCAATTGTTGTGATAATTAGGAATTTGAAAATATTATAACGGAAGTGATTTTTGTGTGAAAAGGTTCAGAAGAAATTAAGGTATTAACCTTTTATTAATAGCAATCGCATGAACACCCTCTTCTCTAAGTGACTCATGGAAACTCCTAAAACAAAAAAAAACTTTATTCAAGAAACACCAAAGTATTGTATAATCAACTTTAAAAAAATCTGTTGAAATATCACAAAATGGTAACTCCTTCAACAATGGACATGGAATTTTGTCTATCCTTCTCATTCTTGTTAAGATAAATAAAGAAAAACAAACCAGGAGAAACAGGAAAAGGAAAAGGGATCTAATAAAGTTTGGCCTGCATATTGAACGCCAACCGGACGCTTGGGTTCCTAAGAACAACGATAGCTAGGAGACCAACAAAGGAATCAACCAATTCAATCTGAAAATACACCTACGGCCAAAAGATTCAGACTTTACCACAAATAAAACTATGTACAAGTACAAGCTTCTCCCTTTAGTTAATCCAATTCTTCCGTCACAAAACACTAAGCGCACCCACCAACAATCTCCTAACCCAGATCGAAATTAGCATTTGAGTTAATTAACACATGAACCAATCAATTAGCCTACGAAATCATGCATCATCCCACCTCCACCACCACCAAACTGCCGCCTAAGCTGATCGCCATGTCGCTGCAACTGCTGCTGCTGCTGGTGTGCCACATTGTCCACAACTTCATGCCTCAGTCCCAAAGTCAGCGAAACAGCTCCATTCCCACCGCCCATCTGATGATCACTCCCCTGATATGGGAGAAAGTTCATCAGCGAACCATTACCATTCATGGCTGCAGCTGTTGGAACTTGGAAATCCACTCTGGACCTCTTCTCCTGCTTCCAGTATTGCTCCCTATGAAGCTTCTGCTGCTGCTGATGGTGACCATGTCCTTGTTCTTGACTCGATGTCGTCGGTCCCATCACTGCAGAATTCGACACAGGATCGACATTATTGCACTTGCCTTGGCTGGTTCCTGCTTGGCCTTTGTTCTCAAGCATGTGGATCTCCTCCACCATGGGCTTCCAGACACGAACCCGCGCGTTGATGAACCAATTGGACACCTGCGTTACAACGAAACGATGTCACAATCATGCTGATTGGACTGCAGACAGTACATCTGTATATGCCAATTCAATCAAACCATGAATTGATTGACCATAGGGAGATATCTAATGATTGTTCAAATAATTATGTGTACAACGAGACTGATTGATGGTCTTTTTACCTGATTTCGGGTTAGCCCGGTCTGGGTTGCTAACATGTGCTTATCAGCATCAGTAGGGTACCTTTCAAAACAGGGGAATGCAGGAAAAAAAGCTGACTTTAGAAACAGAGTTTGTTCATTGAAGGGACAAGTGAATGAAAGAAAAAAAGGACTCACGGGTGAAGAAAATGCTCAAAGAGCCAAGCTCGAAGGATGGCCACCGATCTCTCAGGTAGGCCTCTTTGGGTCCTCCAGACGTGCTGTTGGGGCTCATGGAAGCCCACATGATGATAATTAGGCCCACCACCACCACCACAGCTCTGCCTCTGGCCCATGTAACCCCTCAGCCTGGTTGAAGTGCTGCTGGTACTGCTGGAGCTGAACAGCTCTTCTTCTCCTACCACCACAGATCTTGCCGTTGCTGCAGAATGCTGCTTCAGCTGGTCTGAGATCACATGCTTCATGCTCTTGAAGTTCCTGGTGATGGTCTTGATGGCGAGCGAGACGTACGGCGTCGAGGAGCTCAGGCCGGCCACGGACTCGAACGACGAGACCACCATCTGCATTTGTTGGTGGTACTGCTTGTACCTCTTGCAAACCTTTTTTCACAAATCCAAATTGGGGGGAAAAGTAAAGAGTAAATCAAAACAAGCAATTCAATTAATGAACAGTGACATCCATCCAAGTAATACTGTTGGTAATGCAATAATTAGGCAAGTAATAACAGTGATGCCATAATTTTCTACAAATAGCTATAGTTTGGTGGGAAATAGTAGCTTTCACTGTTCAATTGTAGCTGGAAGTTAGGGGGAAAGGAACAGTTGAGAGACTTGGCACTATTCTTTTGACCTCAATTATGGACTCATTACAATGTAAAAAAAGGATGCTCATAGGATTGGGAACTTATGACAGTGAAGGGAAAATTGACAGCCAGAGATTGATCCTATCATCCTATGCATACCCCACTGTCTGTCAATTAAATTATTTGATTGCTCCATTATCAACAAAGACCATCTCCATTACCACACCTAGGTGGCAAAAAGAGTGGGGGCTTCCACTTCTTTGTCGGCTAGCCAATGGGAAACCAGAACACCAAATTGGTTCATATCAAATGTGCAGCAGACATGACTAGTAGTCCCTAAAAAAGATATGAAGTTTCAGTCTCTGTTGTTGCTTAACTGACTTAAGCGTTTCGTCGAGCAAACACGTCCTTACGCTTATCCAGTTATCGTAGTTGAGCCTAGTTGTAGTTCCAAAATGTAAAAGGGAAGGAATTGAATTCAATTCAATGCATACAAAGCATCATCCAAAATGTAAAAGAGAAATTAGGAGGAAAAAAAAACCAACCTCTTCAAGTAAGTACAGCAGCCTGGATTTCACCTCATGGAACTCCGGCCTGTACGTCAGAGAACCTCCACTGCCAGCTCCTCCACCATCGTTCGATCCACAAATCGCGGCGGTGGAAGACGATGACAAACCACCCGAACCCAAACTGCTCACAACATCACCAACCTCCATCCTACAGCTCGCCACCCCACACCATTCCTCCAAAAGTTCCTGAGCCGGCTTCAAGAACCTCGAGCTCTTCAAGATCGTCGCGTAGCCCGTGAAAGGGCCTAGAGGCCCCACCATATTCGTCGCTGTCGTCGTCTTAACAACATAAGAAGCAGCCCCTGAACCTCCAACTACAGTGGACTTGTTGTCACAACTTCTACCACTAGCAACTTTCACCCCATGATCGTGGTCACTAGCCACAACCGCGTTACCACCCTTCGATTGCAAGTACGGGCTCGAGTAATGCTCGAGCCCGTCCCCAAAATGATGTGCAGCCACATTGACATCATCGTTATTCGACGCCAGAGACAGAGACAGACCCTCGTGATGGCTCACCGCGCCTGCAACATTATGGTATCCACCGTGAAAAGTGTTGTGGTGGTACATTGCACCACCAACATTGCCACCGTAGTCCATCTCGCCGCTGAGCAGCCCTCTCACGCAACTCTCTTCAATGCCGTAACGTGGGAGGTCCTGATAGCCCGCCGCGACATTGATCAGACCGGACGACGACGAGTATGGATTCTTGGAGTAGTGTAGTGATGGCGATGAGGCGAGATTCGTGGGTGTTGTCGAATCGAATGTAGGCGTGTAGCTGTGGAGAGTGGAAGGAGGAGGCATGTTGTTATTGTTGAACGTCTGGTGGTAGTGGAAGAATTCGGATGGTGGTGTGACGGTGTCGAAGGCGGCGGCGCGTCTGCCGCCGGAGGAAGCATAGTATTGGACCGACGATGACTCCTCCATGGGTTTTGCAATTTTGTTATCTGTGAAAAGCAAGAATTGAACCATTATCAGTGTAATCATACTTGGATCCAAAGGAGAAATATCGATCGAGGAGAACATATCTCTAGCTAGCTAGTGAGCTACATTTTTTGGTCTGTAACAGTAGTCATTTATGTAGCTGCTACATGTTATGAGGCTGATTGATAAGATAGGTATTAGACTTTGGCCATGCAATTGGAAAAGCAAAAATCGGGGCTTGATATATAATAATAAGTAAGCACATATATTCTCCATTGTACATTCAAACATTGTAGTAGCAGGAGCGAATATCAAATCAGAGGAACAGATCCATATTCCATTGCTTTGCTTGCCACAGTTGAACACAGAAGAGAAGACCCAGAGACGGTAACCCATGAAAACAAACAAGATACAGCAAAAGGCCAACAGAAAGAAAAGAAAAGATAAGGAAGGAGCATTGTTTATTTCCCACGCGCCGGCGCATGCAGCTAAAAGTTTCGGTCTTAGTCATTAGTCAAGCCGTGCCGGGGCCTTGAAAGCTCGAGATCTAGTCTAGTCTCTCAACCCAACCAACCAACCAACCTCGTATTTAAACCAGCTAACCTAGCTTCAGAATTCTTGTTTGTTTTCTCTCCTTTATGTAAACTATTATTAGCTTCGAAAAAACACCTAATATATATATATATATGCTGCCATGAAAGAGACGCAGCTTGAACTACAGTAGTGAAACCCTACTTGTAGATCCGGCCGGCGGCCGGTTTAAGAAATCATGCTGAAGATACGTCGCCGGCCAGGGAGTTCTATTTATCTGGGGGGAAAAAAGGCCACTATTCCAGGAAGTCATGAAACCATTTGAACCCAAAACCCAAACACTAAAAAAAAAAGACACAACTTTGGATTGAAGGAGAGGAAGAAAGGAAGGATCCGAGCGAAGCTTATCCACAAATTCATAAAAGAAACAGTAGTACAGTACGAAAACATCTTCCCAGAAAATCTAAGAAATATTGGGAAAAGGGAATAACACCACATGTAGACGTTAGAGTTCTTGAGCTTACCGGTTGCTTCGCCGGCGGAGGATGAGAGAGCGATGATGAGAAAGGGAGAGAATGCAGGTCGTTAATGTTTTTCAGCCTTATATTTTTTTTCTTCCTTGTTTCAATGATTTGTGGTAGTCTGTCTGTCTTCTCTCTTGTGAGGGTTTGAGAGAAAGAGCTTTGGATGGAAGTGGGCCGTGCAAGCAACCAAGCAAGCTGTTCAAGGCAAATGCCGAATAGTAATAATTGCCAACTGCGTATGCCTATGAATTCTGATGATAATAATAATAATAGAAATAATTAATTATTAAAATTTTTACGAAACCTTAGGCGAATGAAAAGGCCGTTAGATTTAACGCTCGCTAATACCGCGCGCTCTTTTCTTTTGCCCTGCTCCTGAGCTTTTCTCTCTTTCCGCTCTGTCGTCCTCGTCTCGGATGTTTTCTCCAATGCGCGGTATCGACCGTTAAAAGCTAACGGTGGTGGGACTTGTTGTTTTTTTTTTTTTTTCTTTCTCCAAAAAAGATTTTACATATTTTAATTCTCTTTTTTGAGTTCATCCGGCTCAGACGAATCATCCCGACCATTTTTATTAAAAAAAAAATTAAAAATAAAAAAGACTCTGAAGCTCGCTCTCCGGCGAGATCTCATTCCATCCGAAAAGCACTGGCGGACATTGTCGCCTGGCCGGGGCCCGGCAGCAGGCTGCAGGGAGGGTTTGGGTCCCTGAGTGGAATAAAGGCAACCCTGGCCTGAATAGAACATGTAAGTTAATTATATTAATTAAGGTCCTAATTAATTACGATCAAAGAGAGTGTAAGCTGATTCACTAAACAATTCACTTAATCCCTCTTGAAGGGGACAAGTGTAACTCAATTAAGTCCACTAAACCTTTATTAGAGACCCTTTTTCTTCAAATGTCCTTTGTTGGAAAACCCTTTTGGAAAAGGGCTTATTGAGAGAATTCTATTCCCCTTGTTTGTGAATTAGTGGCTGTTGTGCAAAGAGGATATATGATAGGATATCATCAGGGCATTTACTACAAAAGAGCTTAGGTTGCCAATCTGGTTGCCAAACTTTTTTTTCTTTCTTCTCTTCCCTTTCCTTGTCAAACTTCCTCATTTTCGTTTATGGTGAGGAATGTTCACAACGATAGCAGAAGAAGTTGAATCACAAATGGTGAATGTTCAAAACAGTGGAAATAGACTATGGAGAAACTCTCTCACCCTATCTTGGCTATAGATCATGTCAAAAAATACTTATAGATTCGCGACATGAAATTAAGACAATAACTGTGATTGATCAAAAACATTTGTTGACACCGAATTTTACATTCTCTAGTCATGCGCGACAATGTCGTCAGTCTATATATCTTTTGTCACAACTCACAATAGTTAGTCTTTGGTATTGGAAGAAAAAAAAATCATAAGCAGTTTTTATGCTTGACAATATTACTCTATGCTGTCTATACATTTCGTTACCTAATTCCAATCAACTACAAAAGAAAACTACATGCACTTATCGTGTACACTAAAGTAAATAAACTAAAGACAATACCAACACCTTATTTTGTATTGCATCAGTTTTAAGTAAAGGTGGAGTTCCAAGTAATTTGTAAGGCATTTCCGCTTTCCCAATCTTTTTGTCCTAAAATTATAATGTTTGTGTTGCGATATTAAAAGAACATTAACAAGTTATAAAAGACGACTAGTTATATATCCATCTCTCAATATTCATATTCAATCGATGGAATGCAATTACAGTTTATCATTTTCAACCTTGTCACGCTCTTTCGTCCTCTTTCCTTCACAAATAAAATTCCTCTCTTATAAACTACCGAGAATGTGAGATGGTTCACGCTAGCATAAACGAATGTACGCCAAATATAATATATGTATTTATTTTTGGTTTGATGAAGAAATGTAATTATTTTGGGGTGTCTAAATGAAGTTAAATTCCTGTCACAACAGAAGTCCACTCACTACATCACATCGAGTAAATCCTTTGAATCTGATAGCACATGAGAAAACTAGTAGCTACCCATCAGATCATCACCACTACCATTACTGTTGTAAAATTGTTTAATGCAATTAATAGGTGATAGCTGAGAGCATAGAACAGATCAGATCAGATGCTTGTCATTTGTCAAATCCCATTTACCCATTTTGTCCATTTGCCCCTTTCCTTTACTTGTTTTTCTGGCCAGCCCTCAACTTAATTGGAACTCTTTTTTTCTCAAACAGTGGGGGATAACTGATAAGTATTTTCTCCAAGATAAGCTTAAATCTTTTGAAGAGAAGTGCAAGCTAGCATAGTACTATGCTATATCCTATGTAAACAACAGGTTGAATATTGAAGTGATACCTGATTAGCCCATGTGATTCGGGTATTTACAACGCCATCCATCTGTAAAGACGTTCTTTAAGTTATTCAACTGTCCGATTCAGTGTTAGGCACGTTGTATTTTTATTAGGTGAACATGTGGCATATTATTTGCAAATGTATCATTGGGTTCATCCAACGTTCACCAGACGCCCAACAATCAGTCGGACAATCGTGAGCATTCTTATAAGAGCTGAAAACGATCTTTTAATTAGTGTTGTACTTGTAAGCACCCTAATCGGATTCTCCGATTAGCTTAGCCGCGCGAGTCACAACGGGGTTGTGGCAAGGCAAAGTTTATATATATGGCCAATTAAAGATTATCAATGTGTAAGTTCGTTCCATGAAATTATTAAAAACATGTTACAATCTGCGTGTTTTTATTATGTTTTTTTTTGTCTTCGTCACGACCAGCTAAAGCTAAAGTTCCATTAAAGAGCGTTTCCACGGGGTAGAACCTCCTCAGGGAATATAAGGCCCTGTTCACTTTCATTTTCGTTTCCTGTTTTCTGTTTTCATGTGATAAATTTGGCAACCGAAATGAGAAAACTTGTTTACTTTTCATTCTGTTTTCTATTCGTTTCCAACTATGAAAACAAAAAGTGGCAACTTCCTGCTGTTTTCGGAAACGACAAAATGTTGTTTTCACCTGTTTTCAACATCTGTTTTCTCAAAAACAGGAAACAGAAATGAAAGTAAACAGGCCCTTTTCAGACTCTTTCTCACAACTAAATCGTTAGTAATTCTGTAATTGAATCAAGTTGGATTTACAAATACGGGTTAACAAATATTTTTACCTGCACTCTACCGTACATTACTTTTCGTAGTCCAAAATTTGATAACTAGCCTTACGCCTTAACCCAATGAACGAAAGCACCTCTCACTAAAATGGGTAGGGTTTGCCGATAAACATGCATACTCTTGTTCAGCAAAATATGATTTCACCCCATACAGTCCAAAAATCCCTAGAGAGAGAGAGAGAGAGAGAGGAGTGAAGACCGAAGTCTTTCAATTTAATTTTTACAGTGGTCTCTGAAATTTTCATCTGCAGAAACAAAAGGCTTTTCCCACATTGGATAGAACACCAAGGCAGACTGCAGAAGGCAAGCTGAAGTAAGGTCCAGGGATGCTAAACTGGAGATAACGTCACCTGCAGGAGTCCAGTCCTGGGTCATGGGCCCACTACTCCGCTCTCTGAATCAATGTCCACCGCCCAGATCAATCTCTTGCTTGCTTCTTCGCAGGCCCAAATTAAAATTGATTGCTTTCTTTTCTTTCTTTCACTCACACTATATCCTATTATACCGATTACCGAGGCCCAAATCCCCACTGCTGTTCCTGTACGGACAAACCTCCCCTCCCTCCCGATTCACCATTACTCCACTCTACTGCTAGTCTGCTACTATTTATCGACCTATCTAATATCTATTCTCTTGTTCAAGCCATTAGTCCAATTGGCAAGTGCAAGTGTCAGTAACCCTCCAATGGAGGGGGTAAGAGGTGAGAAACTAGTGCTATTTATTTGACATTTGCAACAAGACTACAACGTGAAGTGTTAGTGTAGTGGTATATGATTCACGATTGAACCTCTCTCAACAACTTGAGTTATTGAGATTAACGGGTTCTTTACATGGTATCAGAGCCTGTTGTGGCCGGGAGGTCTCGTGTTCGAATCCCGATGACCCCATTTGTGAAGCACATGTATTCTCGTGTTCAGAACATGTGGAAACGAAAGTCCTTGTGGGTTGACTGGCTTTCGTTTGAGGGGGGCGTGTTAGTGTTGTGGTATATGATACACGATTGAACCTCTCTCAACAACTCGAGTTATTGGGATTAACTGGTTCTTTACATGAAGTGGCCTAATCTTTAAACGAATGTGGGAGTGGACGCAAATAGTTGTAGTTAGATTTCATGAACATAAAAACATTGTGGTTCCGAGGTTGTTTGAAGATGTGTAGAGCTTGCATAGTAGAATATCGTGTTGATCTCCTCAAAGTTCAGACGTAACTGATCATTTGTACGAATTTTTCCACCAGAAAACAAACCTATGCTGCAACCAGTTGGTTTGTGTTTGACAAATGCACGATGAAAGAACACAAAAAAGTAGTGATTTTTTCATGAACTTTCTCCCGTGTGTGAATATCTAGATGGAGACGATGATGAAATTTGCCTCGAGAAAAGTTAGCAGGGACAAGGTTTACTAGTGTATATGAAATTCATTAGGGCATCATAATAAGGAGGGGCCAAGAGCTTCAAAGTACCTTTATGCACACCTCCTGGCCGTGTCATTTGTCCCCCCTCTAATTATGTCATAAGGGCTTATTTTTTCACAGCTTTTTAACGTTCATCATTCGAGATTCGTCCCGTAAAATTCCGTTGTTTAACTTGTAATTTTGTACAGAATTTGTGTTTGTTTTTCATTAACATTTCAGTGTCGGTCTTTATCTCCCCTATTACCGTAAGGGCCGGTTATAAAGCTCTATCTTAAAAAAAATTATATCAAAATGAACACCATCAGTCCAATTACTCCAAATCCATCACTCCATTAGACCTTCTTGGGGGTGTGTGAGGCTAATCCTCCTCAACTAGAGTGAGAATTTCTAGGGATAAAATGGTAATTTGAAGGCATGCAGCCCCTCCTCCCAAGGGACAGTGGAGGGAATGGCATGGGATGATGATGATGCCCTATTGCCCTTGTGATTGTTGAACAGAGAAAAAGTGAAGAAGAAGAGAAAGACAGCTTGCCGTGGGCTGTGGGAGACCATCCATTTTACACTAATAAAGTTCGAGCCGAGCTTCACTGAGTGCAAAAGGAACAATTCCAGAGTGACGCCAGCCCTTGCATTTTGATGTCACTCTCCCCCCAACCTTTTACACAGAAGCCCTATCTCTTTTGCTTTTTTCCCCCCCAACTCCTAGTTTGGTCTAGCTAGACCAATGTGTATAAGACTGTAAAGCACTCTCTCTCACCCTTTCTGTCTCTAGGGTAGTTCCCTTCCCTTCCCTGCTGCCCATATAGCTTAGCTATAGGCTGTATCTGTATCCCCCATTGAAGTCCTTTTGGGGTTTCCTTCTTCCTTCTTTCATTTACTATGGGGGGTCACATCCATCTCCTTCCTTCTTTCTCTCTTGCTCTCCCCTAGCTCAGCAAGTTACATTACTGCCCCCTTCTTGTATAATCATGTGAGCAACAACACAAGTGAATTTGCTAAGATGCTTACAAGTTACAACATCACAGGTGAGCACGTGCTTACGACGTGCACACTTGCTTGATTGAACATCAAACGACATTGATCGCAAGATAAACGCGTAATATCACATGTATTACGGTGCTCATCGTTTGTTGCTCGGTTTTACGGTGCTCGACGTTTGATTGAGCGACCGTTTGATGCTGTAAGCACGTCCTTACACAAACGATGCTGTAAGAGCCCTATGGAATGGTCCACCAAGTTAGCAATTAAAGGAAGCACGGAGAGTTTGCATCATATATGGGAGATGCAAAACATTTGATGAGGCGTTTGATAGAGCGCCCTTATCGAGTTTTGATGTCTACAAGGAGATCAAAGTACTTGGGGGGTTTTACTCACGAAATGGATCTTCATCCTCCATCTAATGATCTGTATACGTCGTTGCTCCTTTAATTGTTACCATTGACGACTTCATCCTTAGAAATTCTTCTACAGTATTCGTTAGCTCATATGTGTACCTTTCATAACTCATAATGGGACAGAAAATCTCAAATTATTATTTTTTTCACCTCGAACTCATGTTTGGGAATTTCACCATGTCCATCTACTACGAAAAGATTAAATAAACATCGAATATCATAACATCCATCGATCTACCTCTCACCCTATTTCAGCAAGTACCAGATTCGTCTATGCAACACATACAAACTCAATCCGGAAAGGACAAACCAAGCTTTCGAACACCAACCCATCTCAATCCGAAAACTGGAAATCCATGGTTGCCTAGCTATTCGATCATTGAAGGGTTCGGTATGGATAATTTATGAGACTTTGAAAAAATAGGGGAGAGAGAGGAAAAGAACAGGTGGGTATAAAAGACACACATGGTGATGGGGAATTCACAGACACACATAAATTTGGGTAGGTAAGATGTTAGGCAAATCAAAATTGACCATTCATGTGCCACAAAAACATAAAATATATACATACATGCATGTACAACAAAACCTACCTAAGGAAAAAGGAGATCAGTTTCATGTGAAAAGAAAGGTTGGACATGGATGGGCGAAGAACCGTGAAAGAGAGTGCCCTACTGTGCCTTTTAACATTCTCATGTGCCCAATTCATGATATATATTAGGTCTGGTTTTGGAGGGTACTCTTTTGACTCCTGCTCTTCCCTGCATCACATCGGAAAACCTTACATGGAAATGTGAAAAGAAAGATGGTATGTACAATAAAAAGGGTGTCCCAAATTTGAGAAGCCAATAATGGAGCGGGTGATACTTTGAACTATTTGTCGTGTTGGGTATGTCGTGGTATGCACGATGAATATCCAATTAAGGAGCTTATCTAATGAATAATGAAATGCAATTTTTCCCTTACGGATTCTAAAACTAGTAGATCTTGCAATTCATCGACCCAGTTAATCAAAGCTAGCAGTGGATTCAGTTAGCTCTGCCAAGTGCCAACTTCTCATTTCGTTCCCAACCTTGATTTTTCATTTTCATCCTCATCTTCTTTACGTACAACACTAATTCGTTCTAACTTCTAGTGAAAGTTAAGATGATAATATCTTCGAGAATATTCTCATCCGAACTAGTCAGATGGTTATCATTCACGAAGACGTATCCTATTAAATTATTAAATACTTTCAAGAACTGTAACTGGATAAATTATTGTTTTGTTTGTCTCGAAATAACAGGCGTAATTAACCAATCATAATAAGTGAATTGTTGCCGGGAAATTTACATAAATTTTAACCAAGCTTTTTTACCCGGAAACTTAAAAATCAACTTACTAGTATTTTAATTATGCTCACCACTAGAAAAGGGAAATGAGCGACAATTATTATATTGAAAAGGCCCACAGACAAACCCTCCCAGAGGCCCATCTTATCTAAGCCATGGTCCAAGTAACAGGAACGCGGCCCAAATCCCGGTTTAGGCCCAGAGCCCTCGAGACAGTCGCCGAACCATCCACGATGTTGTTATCGCACGGGGACAGGCCCGCATGCTCCTCGTCGCAGCCGTTGACCGAGTCGTACTGGTCAACCACCCTCGCGAACACGCTCCGCCCGTTCTCCGCCGTGATCTTGATTCGCTTACCGCGCATTGACCGTCCGTCGTGCAATCCGGTCGACAGCGCCACCACCGCCTCGCTGTTGTCGTGGAAGCTCTCGTCGCTGTTGGGACTAATTAATTCTTGATGCAATTCAACTTCTCATAACAATTTGAGGTAGTAGGACAAATTATTTTTTAGTATTGTATCAGAACCTTCTGTGATCATATTGTTTTTTTTTTAAATTCTAATGACGTCATTTGTTCAGCATTCTCTGATGCTTGTCCACGGCGTTCTGGGCTGCTAGACGACGATTAGAGATGGCAATTTTGCCCATATCCAGGGGTATTTTACTATCCAATCCAATTGGGTTGGGTATGAAATCCAAATATATGGATATGGGTAAAGTTTGATGGGTTTGTACCCATACCCATTTACTTTGGGTTGGGTTGGGTTTATAACAAATGGATTTGGGTTTGTACCCATGCCCAAATACAAATTACAGTTTGGTACCTAAACTTAATAGATATACATATTTAGTACCTAAATTTAATTTTTTTAAATATAAGTCCTCAAAATATCGATGGAAAATTACGTTTTGGTACCTAAATTTTTTTGGTCTTACAATTTGGTACCTAAACTTTTCAAGTTTTACAAATAGGTCCAATTTTTGCATGTGTAGTTAAAACACCCTCAAGTAAATGGATATCCATATCCAACCCATACCCATTTAGATAATATCCATATCTAACCCAAACCCATACACACATCACCCAAACCCTACCCATAATAAATGGGTCTACTTGGGTTTGGACAAAATTACTCATGGGTGGGTAAATTGCCATCCCTAACGACGATGAATAAGAGGAGGGAAAACAAGACTGCCGAGAGGATCGGAGCACTGGTTTCCCCATGTTGATTATTATGTTTATAGAGTGTTTTAGGGTGTTTGTTCTGATGATTGATGAATTCGGATTGTGGGGATGTGGGATATTCATAGTAAGGGAATTGATTGTTAGAAACTAAAGGCGATAATAATAATAATAATAATGAAAAATACATGAAGGCGGCGATGGTTGATACCAAAGGCGCCTGTGATCGCCGCCGGCTGGCCGGATGTGTTCCCTCTTTCGTCGTTATCGAATGTGGACGTACGTAGCAACTAGCAAGCAGTCTTTTATTCCCCCATCAAACTCACTACTGAAAACAAGGACTAACACAGTGGCGGGCACGAGATTCTTGATGGAATGTGCTTGTGGATAAAAAAAAATAAATTAAAGAAATAAAAAATAAATTCACAAAATACATAATTTTATTGATTTCCATTTTTAACGGGATCCCACAGGTTTTAATATTATGAAAGGTTTGTGAAATACTTTTATCGTTTATTTTGCGACTCGAAACTTTTTTCGATGCATGCATGCAATCAAACAATCATTCATAAATTGACAGCTCATCCGGTTTCGAAAATTCGTTCTTGATTAATTTCAAAACTGAAAAGTTTGTTCGGAACTTGTAGCTATAAAGAAAATGAAAGAATGAGGCCGATCGTATAACTACGTACGTGTACTTCACGATCGTGAAAAACAAACATAACATATGGAACGAAGAATCAGTCAAACTTAAGCGCTTCCTTGGTTTGTTTGGAGCATATGTTGGGACATATACGACTTTTGCTGCTCCTATAAGACGAGCGAAATTAATCAGTTACATTTTGTTTCTGTATATGTCGGTTCTCTTTTGCTTGATGATTTTCCAAGAAACACCGGATGATTATAATCTGCTCTTGCCGGTCGGATATACCAGGTGGATAGGGATGGCAATTTTGATATGACGAGTAACGATAGAGGTACATCAACATAGAAGGTTAGGGGGGGTGACTATAGTATTCGTAGGCCAATTAGTTGTCGAGGCTTGCTTTGAAGTTTATATATTTCTACGTTATGATGAACTATTCTATTAGTATCATCGGATTGCAAAAAGCGTACTTTTCCTTACAGGTATCTCATCTCTCTAAGACTCTAACCCTATATTCGCATATCTTTCTCAACTCATGGCCCAATTCTCTCAATCTCGTCCCGATTCCTCCATATTCTGTCTTAATCCGCATCCTAATCATTTCCTTGGTATCAGTTTTCTATTGGAAGACGAATGACTGTAACACTCATATCCCCACCTCATATCGAGACATATAACATCAAACATGTTACGTAACGCCTTATAGAGTATAGACTACGTTCGTCTACAACAAAATCATCATGTCTATATAAGTATTATCCGATCCGATTCACTTTGAATATAAAATGAGTATGAATATCAAACTACCCGTCCCGCTAAACAACAACTTTCCTTTTTTTTTATTCAAAGTATGTACGCAAAGCTAGGATAGTGATAGAACAACACAGTACAGTACTATACCGTCTCAATTTCCTTCCTCTCGTAACTAACATACAAAAAATTGCCGTCCTTCACCTTTTCCTTCGCCGAACTTTTGATTCCTTCTTTGACTGCTTCTACACGAACGGCAGGAACCTGAAGGCATTTACCACTCATACGATCTGAGGGGTCGGTTAACGTTGGATCTTTCCCTTCGGCGTTGGTCGCATTGTAACTCTTCAGGATCGAAGGTCGTAAATGGCCTCATTATCGCTTTGATAAATAATATTTTGATCATTGGGATATAAGTAATATATAATTAGAGTAAAGGTTAATTAGCATATTCTTTGAGTAAAGGTTAAATGCATTTTGATTTATTTTGATAAAATAGAACTAGCGATTATTATTATTTTATTAAATTGATTTTAGAACATGATAAGGGTATGAGTTTACCCAGTAGATCAGGTTAGAATACAATAAACACGTCCCAAGTTCGAGTTAATTTATGATTTGGGGATAGCATCATTCCATTAGGATTATCAATGTATACCACATGCTTCATTAATTAGTTATGCTCACTTGACTTACGGGTATGCTATCTGGCCTACATATATGGTTCAGAGTTGCGTACGTTCCGGTTACACTAACTTTATCGTACACCTATTGAAGTTTTGCTATATACAACAAGAATCAACAAGAGTTTGAGTCATGATATTATAGAATACCCAAACTTTAATAGGTGTGTCCTATACCCTAATTCTCTAACCTCAAACTATAAAATCAATCTAATAAAAAAAAACCCTACTATTCTGATTGGTCAAAATATATCTCATAAATGTAAATATTGTTCTGCATGGGATGGGAGTATATGGGTGTATTGAGTTGAATCAATCGCTACGTACACAAAAGATTTGGAGGTTTTGAGTATGGACTAGCTAATGGATATATATATGTGTACATATATACAAGCTTGTCGACAGGAATTGGTAAACCACTAAACCCTTAATTAATCAATATATTAAATGCCCAAGCAGCAGTTACTGTTGCATACGAAAAAGTAGGGCAAGGTAATTAATTTTTTTTCCTAGCGGTACTGTTCACAAGAGGTTCTATTTCCTATACCCAATTTCACCATAAGCTCTTTTCTATTTGCATAATACAATAATTTTGCAAGATCACTTTTTTTTTACGTAGCATTTTATCTCCTACACTTAATCCCAAATAGTAAACGTTATTCAAATCCAATTCCACCGTAAGCTCTTTTTTATTTGCATAATACAATAATTTTGCAAGATCACTTTTTCTTTACGTAGCATTTTATCTCCTACACTTAATCCCAGATGGTAGACGTTATTCAAATATGATATTTTTCGCAACTTTATTTTATTGTTAGACCACAAATTACGAAAGATTTACGTAACACTGTTCAATAAAAGTTAGGTACATTACGAATACAATATGTAAATCTTATGAAGTGACCACGCATTATGAAAAATTTACATAACACTGTTCTATAAGAGTTACTTACATTATTTTATTATATTAAAAGGCCAAGCATGCCAAGCCACAATTTACTGTTGCATACGAAAAAATAGGGACAAGGTAAGTAAAAAATTTACTGTTCACAAGAGTTTTTATTACCTATAACCAATTTCATCATATGTGTTATATTAATCTTATTGAGTGACCACACATTACGAAAGATTTACGTAACACTGTTCTATAAGAGTTATGTACATTACGAATACAGTATGCAAATCTTATGGAGTGATAGTTATTTCTTATGTATCAATTACACAATACATAAGTCCACCGTAATGATTAGGATTTGCATAGTTATTTATTATGTATTAATTAAATAAACTTATTACGTAAGTACTTCATAATATATGTTTGAATGAAAATTTATTTATTATTAACTAAACTGTTGACTATCACATCAAATTGGATTACACAAATGTTATTTTCATATGGCAGTTTAATCAATGTGACATTCTTCATAATTTATTTTCTTGATTATTGACTAACGGTTTTTCATTTTTAAATAAAATATTCATCATGTCATCAATTTATATTACGAAAAGGTTTCGTAATGTTAATTAAGTTCTACATGACAGTTTAAATTGGAGCAAGGTAAGTAATAAATTACTGTTCACAATAGCTTCAATTCCTTATGCCCAATTTCATCGTAAGCTTTTCCTTATTTATGAAAGATCTACATAACAAAGTTTGTTAACAATTACGTTATGAAAATATTTCACAATGTTAGTTCATTTTTACATGACAATTTAATGAAATGTAATACTTTTCATAACTTAATTTTATTATTAGACCACATATTATGGAATATTTACATAACATCCTTCATTAACAGTTACGTAAATTACAAATATATTACCTTAAACTTATGGAGTAATAGATATTTCTTATGTATCACTTGAACAAATTTATGGCATAATTCATTCATAATGATTTAGATACTACGTTAAGCGCATATGGTGATATCTTACTCGAATTTTATGAATTACTACATCACTAAATAAGTGGAGGAAATTTCAAGTATAATTACTGTTCCCCGCTGCAAAGCGCGGGCCAAAAAACTAGTGAACGGCTATTTGCCGCCAACCAAATTGCTATTTGCCGCCAACAAAAAAAAAAAAAAAAAAAAATTCAAATTTTGAATTCAAATTTTGAATTCTCCACTTCCTTCCCTTCCTATAAATTTGAATACCATAACATTACCTCATTCCAACAAAACACTTTTGTCGACGAGCCCAGTGCCTCCGTCGCCGGCACAGTTCCTCCGTCGCCGGCCAACTTCCCGTCGTCCTCAATCGTCGGAAACAAGTAAGTTTACTTTTTCCGACAATTTTTTCTGTTTTTCCGGCGATTTTTCCAGTTTTCCGGCGAAAAACACGGTGGGCCGAAAGAATTTGGCGGCCGGAACGTGGCCGGGCCGAAAAAAAATTTCGGCCGGCGCGACGCCCAGCCGAAAAATTCTTTCGGCCCGGCGACGTTCCGGCCGCAAATTTTTTTCGGCCGGTCGCCGAAAGCGCCGCCGAAAAGTTTTCCGGCGGCGCGTTCGGCGACCGGCCGAAAAAAATTTGCGGCCGGGACGTGGCCGGGCCGAAATATTTTTTCGGCTGAGCGTCGCGACGGCCGAAAAAATGTTTCGGCCCGGCCACGTCCCGGCCGAAAAAATATTTCGGCCCGGCCACGTCCCGGCCGCAGAATCTTTTCGGCCCGGCGACGCGCCGGCCGCAATTTTTTTTCGGCCCGGCGGCGCGCCGGCCGCTATTTTTTTTCGGCCCGGCATGTTTTTTTAATTTAATTTAATTTAATATGTTAATTAATTAGTCAATAAAAGTTACTTAATTAGTTAATTTCGATTAACTACTTAATTAAATGTTTTTTAATTACTTAGATTAGTTAATAGAAAATTAAATAATTAAGAATTGGTTTAACAATTAATGTTAATAGTACATTAGTTAATAGACTTGCAGTTAATTAGTGATTAATTAACAATTAATGTTAATAGTACATTAGTTAATAGAAATTTAATTAATTAGTGCGCATCTATGTATGATATTGATTAATTAGTTATTAATTAACAATTAATTAGTTAATCGAAATTTAATTAATTAGTGCGCATCTAAGTATGATATTGTGTAAATTTGTAGATAATTAGATATGGATGATGCGGGTGGGAGTGAGTTGGGTAGATTCAATGGTAGGGTTGTTGATGCATCAACACGAAGGAAGGTGCCTCAGAAGAATAAGGAGAAGAAGCGCACTCGAGATATTGGACATCAGTCAGAGGCTCCTACTTTAGTTGCTCGTTCGTCATCACGGGCGTCTGGTTCCCATGGGGGGAACCAGGGTGCTGCATCGAGAGTGGTCTCTGCTGAGTTTGATGAGGACGATAGAGATGAGGACGATAATGATGAGGATGTCGATGTCCCTCCACCTACGCATGGACATGGACGAGTGCAGGATCGTACGGCGACATCACGTCCTGCTATGTATAGGGACCGAGCTGGGCGATTCGTACCACCTGCTCGTCAGGAGACAGAGAGCTCGGGGACTGGACGGAGTAGGGGAGGACGTTCGAGTGGTCCTCCACCGTGGGAGCTTGTTGGTGAGTGTCCTGGTGGACCTACGGATCCTAGCCTCATTAGGAGCTTCCGTGGCCACGCTTCCTACGCACTTTGGACGGGGCTTGGAGATCGAGGGGTCATCAGTTGCTACACCCGTACAGGGGCGGTTGACTATCTTGGGAACTACGTGTTTAGTCATGGCCAGGCGGAGGATCTGGTTCAGCAGTCAGGTCTCCAGCACCTGATCTACTCTATGTTCCGCAGGATAGCGATTGACGAGGCTTTGATCTCAGCTTTTGTGGAGAGGTGGCAGCCAGACACGAACACTTTCCACTTGCCTTTTGGAGAGATGACGATCCTCCTCCACGATGTTCAGTACTTACTGCAGATTCCTGTTGAGGGACGACTGATGAGTAGGACTTCTGAGCAGCTTGACCATCCGGAGGTGGGTTTGTGTGCGCTTCTTGGGATGAACTCGGAGCAGTTGAGTGGTCGTTCGGAGGTCCCTGGATTTGGTAGTAAGGGTAAGTGGTACGACAAGGGTGGTTTTCTTGCGGACATGGCGTCCAGGTACTTGCAGGTGAACGGGACACATGTGACAGAGGCGCAGTCGTACTTGTTGTTGATGTTGGGGTCCACTTTGTTTGTGGACAAGAGTAGAGACAGGGTTCGGCCGGTGGTGAACCTATTTTTGGACGAGCCAGGCTCCGGCCACCTTTTTCCGTCGGCCCGGCCAGGTTCCGGCCGCCGAAAATTTTCGGCCCGGCCAGGTTCCGGCCGCCGGAAAATTTCGGCCCACCCTCTGTTCGTTAAAAATCGTCGGAAAAATTGTTCGAAACTAAAAAAAAGTTGACGCACCTGCTTAGTGATGATTCATGGATGCGTGACCGCAGTTTACGTCGAGGATGGGCTTTCCCGATGGTTTTCCGGCGACTTTTCCGGCGAGCGTCGATTTTTTCTGATTCAATACGTTTTCTGAAACTTGAAAATGTTGTAGGTTGTGAAAAAACTTAACCAAAGATGTACATATATACTTTCTTCTTCTTTTTTTTTTTTTTTTTTTTTTTAGTTGGCGGCAAATAGCAATTTGTTTGGCGGCAAATAGCAAGCCCCAAAAACTAGTATAAGTAATGGACCATTTCAAAGACCCAAATTAATACGTGCTTTTCCTTTTTTACATGGTATTACAGCCGAGTAACCAAAACATGTATTTTGGTTCGCACAACAGTAATTCATGATTAGTTGGAGTACTTATGATGTTTGAAAGAAAGCTATTTCGCTATTTCATTAACGAAATTGGTTTAAAAATCCTACATTCTTTAGTAATTACATTTCACATAGTACTATCATAAGTCATAACGGTCCTAATTACACAACATAAATTTTTTTGGAACCAATAACGACATAAACTTAAGCAAACTTTACAGTACTATATATTCCAGTCATGCATTTTACAATCCAAATTATCTACAAATTAAATTTGAGATCCATCAGAATCGATAAGGTTATGTATAACTTGAATTATTGGATTATCCTATCCTTCCCACGATATATATTCATCAATTTTGCACAACTTTTATCATGAGTGCAATTAGAGCACTTCTACTATGCTATATAGCATTGGTGCTTTAATGTACAACTTGAAGTTAATTGTACCATAACAATAAATTTATAAGTTTAGGTTGTACCATAAATGAATTTGTATCATTATGTTATGTTACAACTTTACAACTTGAAGTTGTACCATCACATAAGATACAAGTTTAAGTTGTACCATAAAAGAATTTGTACAAAAAGTATAGGTACAATCTCAAGTTGTACCATCACGTTACAGGTACAATTTCAAGTTGTACCATAAAGGCAAAAACCTATAACACCAATGTTATATAGCATTGTAAAATTCCTCGTGCAACTAACTTGTGATTGCATAAAACATAGGTATATAGATAAGTAGTAGTCTTTGTCCGGTAGTGAGATGGTGATCAGGAACAAAAGACTGCTCGCTACGTAACTACGTACTCGATAACGACGAAGGTAGGCGACATTCGGCCGGCCGGCGGCGACCACAATTCGCCTGTGGCATCAACACAACCTGAAGAAACAGCTAACTCCCAACTGTTCAACTCAGGCATCAACCGCCTTCATGTATTTTCCATTATTCTTATCGCCTTTCGTAGTTTCTAAGAATCAAATCCCTTGCTATAAATACCCTTAATCCACACAATCCTTCTTCATCAAACGAACATTCAGAAAGAAGAAGAAAAAAAAACAGCTAGCTACGTATAGTAAGAGATAATTCTTTATTTCTTTACATATTCAACATGGGGAAATTACCAGTGCTTCTCCCATCAGTCTTTTTTCCCTTCCTCTTCTTCTTCATCGTCGTCTATTTAGCTTCACCTTCCGCCGCCGCCCCCTGCAATGCCCCATGCCGATCGGAGAGCGACTGCGACGGCAACCTCGCCTGTATCGGCGGCAGGTGCGCCGACGACCCAGACGTCGGCACCACCATTTGCCCGCGGGATGGAAAAAAGGCCCCCCCGTCCACTCCAAAGCCCGGTACAACGACTGTTTCACTCATTTCCTTGGAAAAGGAAATGCTTGTTAATTTCATGTGTTAATTTTGTAAATATTATAGAGCAACTTACTGAAAATGAACGAAAGTGGAAGAGGAAGCTGTTTTTCTCTTTGTTATTTGAAATTTGATTATGTGTCGTCGATGGAAAGTTATGATCGAGTTTCGTTTCGTACACGACATATGAACTTATACGCATATAATCTTTTCTTTTTTTGTAGGCATGTTTTGTAAACTTTGAATTATAGTTTGACTGTTTGAATAAGGTGTTTATATTAATATGTTCTCAACATCTCTATAATCAGTATCCTCTTCAAAACATATCTTTAATTATCTAGTAATACTGCAATAATGAATCATGTGTCTTTTAAATTTTTTTATATTGTGGATTTCTCATTTCGTTACAACAAATTATCATGAACAATTGTTGAAATGTGAATGGTAAGGAACCTAAAGCTTTATTTATTTATTTATTTATTTATTTTTTACCATGCAGCGCCACGTAGTGGTGGCGGCGGCGGGACCTGCGAGGCGACAGGCACGCTATCGTGCGGGAGGAAGACCTTCAAGCAGTTCACATGCTCGCCGCCGGTGACTTCGATCACGAAGGCCACTCTGAGTCTGAACGAATTCGGCGAAGGCGGCAGCGGAGGATCGCCGTCGCAGTGCGACGAGAAGTTCCACAGCGACAACGAGGCGGTGGTGGCGCTGTCGACCGGGTGGTACGACGGAGGGTCGAGGTGCGGGAAGAAGATCAAGATCACGGCGCAGAACGGGCGGAGCGTGTTCGCCACGGTGGTTGACCAGTGCGACTCGGTCAACGGCTGCGACAGGGAGCACGCGAACCTGCCGCCGTGCGACAACAACATCGTCGACGGTTCGGCGGCTGTCTGGAGGGCGCTGAGGCTTAACCAGAATTTGGGCCGCGTTCCCGTTACTTGGGCCATGGCTTAAGTGAGTTGGGCCGATGCGTAAGGCTTTGGTTGTGGGCCTGAAAAAGAAGAAAGGATAAAAATTATTTCATGATTGTGTTTGTTTTGTACTGGTTTGTTAATTACTAAGGTCTGGGGATTATCCCACTAGAGCATGGAAGCCATAATGGTTCCATCATAATGGATTTGTATGTTGACTTTTATGATTCCTGGGCAAAAAAGTTATGTTAATGTGGATTCATGTTAATTCCATGGAAAGAAGTATCGTGATTAATGTTAATTTCTTGGTGAACATTTTATCGTGTATGATTAATCTATTCATGTTGTTGCTCTGCGACGAAAAGATGTTTTAATTTATTGAGTAATAAGCCTTGTTATTGTGTGATAAAATATGCCTTCATGAATGGTAGCTGATAACTATGTAGCTAGTTTGATTGAGATAATTCTTCTAAGAGAGAGTATCAGTTGAACACCGATCTAAAACGAAGTATTATTATTCAAAATATGATGATGTTAAACGAAGGTTAAGAACAAAGTGGTATTCATTTCCTACTCGTTATTTATCTATATTGGTAGTTGTTGGCACTTGAACGTCAACAACTTCCACCTCCAACATCAACAACTTCCACCTTCTCAAGATTATTAGTGTTTAGCCAAAGGTAACATAGTCTAGTGGTGAAACTACTGAACGAATTGAGATCGGGATGTGGGAGGTCCTGAGTTCGATTCCCAATGGCGCCACTTGAGCGTTCCCTGCGGCACCCTTAGTATCGGAGACAAAGTCTCCCCGATGTTGGTAGTAGAAAGCCCCGGTTAGTATGCAGGTACCCCCAGTGGTTTAGTAGGCCCCGCTGTCGCTCAAGCGGCACTTGGGGCTGAGATTCCCTGGGTTATCAAATAAAAAAAATTATTAGTGTTTCGGTGGACCTAGGGGTGGTAATCGGTAAACCGGTATTCAGTATTACCGTACCGTACCGAATACCGACGGTATTCGGTATGACAAATACCAGCGGTATCGGTATGACAAATACCGGCGGTATCGGTATTCGCGCGTGTAATTTTCCATTCGGCAATACCGGATAATAGCTGGTAAATACCGACGGTATACCGGTATACCGTAATACCAAGTATAAAAAAAACGCAGCGTGCAGGGGAATGGGTTTGGCGGAATTGGGAATTGGATTTGTGGGTTCTGCTGTCGAGCAACACAACCCAGCCGCCAGCCCTAATCCCTAATTTCAATCGAACTACCTACCTCACCTCCCTAATTCACAATCACACCACGCCTCCCCCCTGCACGCCGCAAGCCGAACTTCTCTGATTCTCTCCCGAAAGGCCCAAAATCCATTCTCCGTCTTCCTCTTCTCTTCACCAACCACCTGCCACCAGCAGTCCCCGTCGGAGAGAGGCACGTCGCCGGGCGCTGCTGCTTGAAACCGACGGAGAGTAGTTCGATTCCGACGACGATCGAGGAATTGAAGAAGGAATTGAAGAAGTAGAAGATGAAAGGATTAAGAATGGGAGGAGCTGTTGTTCGTTAAGTTCATCATGTTTATTCAGCTTTCAACTGCAGTTGGATGAAGTTAATCATGTTTTCTCGCTCTATAGGAAAAGGGAAGAAAGCTTAAGACGCCTACAAGCAGAGAAAAGCAATCAGAAGCATCTCTTTCTGACAGAGGAAGATATTATAAGCATTCCCCAATTTCAGCGGTGGTGTGGATGCAATTTCGGCCAGCATCAATTATTCTTCTTCCCCATTTTGACCCACGACGACGGCTCCGCCTCTTTTGCTGTCGGGTTTCGGGATACCGATTTTATACCGGATAAATTCCGGTATCAATATTCGGCGACCATATTACCAATTTCCGGTATACCGAATACCGGGTAATCGGTATCCAGTATACCGGATACCGACCGATTACCACCGTAGGTGGACCGCTAAAAGCCCAAGGATAGAAAACCATATGGCCTCAGGTCCTCAAAATCGGAGCTAATCCACGAGCTCCACAGACTAGGCCATGGTCCAAGTAACTGGAACTTCCCCTTCATCCTGGGCCAGGCCCAAAGCGTCCCATACCGCCGGCGAGCCGTCGACGATGTTGTTCTTGCACGGCGGCAGCCCGGCGTGCTCTTGATCACAACCTTGCATTGAGTCGCACTCGTCCACCACCATCGCCTCCACGCTCTTCCCGTTCTGCGTTATCCTTATCATCTTCCCGCACCTCGACCCTCCTTCGTACCTGTTGGATAAGAAAATCAAAGTAGGAGAACGCCATCGATAGACTTAGATAAGTAATATTAATGCTACGATTATTACTATTAAATGTACTTTGTACCTCAGGGTCAAAATATTATAAAAATACGATAATAAAGATACCGCTTTAGTTTGTGATATAAAGGGACTTATACAAATGAGTGTAGGGTAATAATGTTAAAAAGTACAATTTCAATTTGTACGTTAAAACATGACAGAAGTGTTCATTAATTAAATACATCTTCGAATTTGATTTGAGAGAATTGAAATCATGAGATCTATCTATCAAAAAAAATTAGTATATAATATATAATATCCAAACTCGATTTAATTCATAATCTAAACAGATATTGTAAGATATTACTTCGTAAACATTACCATCCCGTGGAGAGTGCGACCACCTTGTCGTCGTCGCTATGGTATACCCCGTCGCACTCCGACGGACCGCCACCGTCGCCGCCGTCCTCGAAGCTGTTTACCGTCAACGTGGCCCTGGTCTCGGACGTGACCGGTGGGGAGCATGTGTAGGTCTCGTAGCTGCCGTCGCCGCAGTCCTTGGTACCGTTGGCCCGACAGCTGCCGCCGTTATCATCATCATCGTCAACGTCATCACCCCCGTCGATGCATATCGGCTTCCCCTTGCAGTCGTCGGTGCTGCCGGAGATAGCGTCGGCGGGGAGGGAGAGAAGGGGTATGGAAACGAAGATGGGAATGAGGAGAGTTAGTAGTAACATTGGAAGTGAGCTTCCCATCACGAAATGTTATTATTGATGATGTGTTTTTGAAGCCAGTCTCTTGATTATTTGGTATCCATAATCCATATCACCTATGTGTATAGTATATATATATAGTAAAAAAAGTAACGATCCAATCCGGTTAAATTGGCCCGAATTGATCCGGTTTCAGTCTAATTTTTTCGGGAATATAAGATTCAAGGATTGGTCCGGACCAAATAGCCAGCCCTAAGGACAAAGAAGGGAGAAACGAGACAAAAGGGTTACCTTCATATTAATGGATGAATTCATTGAGTGTAACTTAATTCGCTTACATGTATATGTATTTGCTACAGAAGTTTCAAATTGAACAATCGGGAAAATTAAAAACAACACTCATTAATCACATCGAAGAAGGAAAACTAAGGTGTTGATAAGAACAAGCTAGGTTTAGAGAGTTGGGTTGGTAGTATGGATTAGCCCTATGAGTTTGATTTTGATTTCATATGAAATCTACGATATAACATTTATAAGCTGTGAACCGCAAATAAGCAAATTTAGCATATCTTATTTAAAAAGCCAATTATACATAAAAGTTTAAGGGATATAAATGGAAATTTTTTATCCATACGAAATTCTAAATAATTCATTTTGATTGATTTTAAATGTCACATCAACAAGTGAATACACACATTGTGTTGTAAGCTTGAATTTATAGGAATCATGTATAAGTTAATTTAAAGTATAAGATATGTTAGAGTAGATATTTGAACATAAATAAATTGTTAGATCTCCACGTTTAACATCCCCAGCAACTTATATTTGATTCCTTGCCGGAAAAAAGAAGGAAAGTTTTGAAAGCAAACAAGAGTACAAGACAAGCAAGGAAGATGGGAAGAAGGATAACGAAGAAGCACCGTGCGGGAAGCGAACTCATGATGAGCCCTAAAATTGAAGTCAACCTTTCTCTATATGTTAAGAAATATGTCTATAGTTTATAGAAAGAGGATCGTGTAGGAACCAAACTCCATTAGTTTAGAGCTTTAATTCCTTCCATTTGCATTGTAACATTTGCGCATTTTCCGACAAATATTTGGATATTATAATATCACAGAGAGTAATGACCCAAAACTCAAAATATTATTTTTTTTAAAACCCAATCAGAAACCAATACAGAAAAATTTCGTTTAATTTTAGGGAGTTCGCCAAGTTAGAGTTGGTGGTGAACTCATAAAACACCGGCAACCAATTTATAGGCTTAATTGCAAGATTGGTCACTCGAATTGCTATAAAATTTCACGTTTGCCACTCAAATTAATTTATTCCATTTATAGTCACTCGAATTAGTTGAACAGTTCAAGTTCGGTTACTCTCCGTTAACCTCCGTTAACTTTGACTGACGTGGCGGTCAACTCTGATCGTTGACCGTTAAATGTGTGACGTGGCAAATAAAAAATAATTTAAAAAATAAAAATTAAATTTTTAGAAATTACACATCATTATAAAAAAATTATAATTATAAAAAATGAAAAAAATAACTTATCACAAAAACTTGAACTGCCTCGCAACTCCCAACTTGAACTAAAAGTTCATTTGGTTGGATTTTCACACACACCTTAGGAATATGAGGAGGAGAGGTGGGTACAGCGGCAGTAGAAGTCGCAGTAGTGCCGCGGTTGTTTACTAGTGCTGTTTTACTCTTCTTGCTTGCCCTCTTCCTCGTCGGCGGAGGATTTGCAGTGGCGGCGGCGGCGGTGTTTGGACGAAGAAGATCGTCGTCATGATTCTTGTCCTGATAATGATGATGACGCGGCGAGAACAGAGCACCGCCGTCCTCGAGGTGGGAGCAGCATTGGGTGGTAGCGGCAGGGGCGCTAAAGCAGAGCATCGAAGGAGGAGGAGGAGCAGAGTGGGGAGGATGGACATGCGCGGCGGCGTCAATGATCATGTGACGAGGATCGTCGTCGTTGGAGCAGAGGAGTTGGGACATGTGGTCGGGTTCGGGCCCCCTAACAGATAATCGCCACTGTCGTCTTCGTCATCGTCTTGTTGATCTGCTGCTGCTGCTTCGGCCTTGACCATCCGCTGGTTGTGGTGGTGGTGGTGATGGTGGTGAACAGAGGAAGGAGTCATGGTGGTGCTCTGCTCTTCATCGGTCATCATTTTGTGAGTTGAGGACTGCTAAACTAGTGTGCAGGAGGGAGCAAAGGAAGAAGGTGTGGAAGAAAGGAAATGAAGTTGGGAGTTGCGAGGGATGTCTTCTTCAGAGGAGAAAGGAGCAGTTCTCGCAGAGCAGAAACCAAGAAGCGCGGACGAACGACCCATCGCCGAATTGGAACTGAAATGCTTGAGAGAGGATGCAGAGCAACAGGAACTTGATGGCCGACTGATGGATGAGATCTTGGGGAAAGGGGCAGGGCCAAGGAAGTTCACTTTCAAGGAAGGTTGTGGTCGAGATGCCAATGCCGTCGGCCAATTCGGTGACGTTGGAAGTCCGATCTGGAAACAGAGTGGTCGGAGCGGCAGTTCAAGTTTTTGTGATAATTTTTTTTTCATTTTTTATAATTATAATTTTTTTATATTGATGTGTAATTTCTAAAAATTTAATTTTTATTTTTAAATTATTTTTTATTTGCCACGTCACACATTTAACGGTCAACGGTCAGAGTTGATCGCCACGTCAGTCAAAGTTAGCGGAGGTTAACGGAGAGTGACCGAACTTGAACTGTTCAACTAATTCGAGTGACTATAAATGGAATAAATTAGTTTGAGTGGCAAACGTGAAATTTTATAGCAATTCGAGTGACCAATCTTGCAATTAAGCCCCAATTTATATATTTGTATTGTCCAATTAATATATTTATATATTTGTATTGTCTAATTTAACTTTATGAGTTCGTCAAGTATTCATGAATTTTAAATAATTTTGAACAAATAGATTAAAAAATTCACAATTATAGAAGTAATAGCTTATACGTCAAATTTTGGAATCTCATGTTTTAGTGGATATTCTTAGTGCCACTATGGATGATGAAATAGTAAAACACTAAAACGTACTTTGCATTGGAGTATTGGATTAGGATTTGTTGTTTTCTTTCTTTTGGTTTTGTTGGTTAACAAACCGATTAGGGCGGCACCTTTCACTAGAAACAACAAGGTTCTCAAAAAGCATGTAATTTAGAGGTGAATTTGCTTGTAAGATTTTAAAAAATAAGAGATTTAGGTCCTACTAGCATCATGCAAATCCCATATGATCATCAAAGCCATAACCTAATAGATGTGAGCTTTTGGAGCAAAATCTCACAAGCAAATGATCCCTTAGTTTTATGAATGACTACCATCTACCAGTATCTTTGTAAAGTAGCCAATGAAGACATATTGGAGGGATACGTGGAATTTTGTATGATTCTTGAGGCTAACAAACTTTGAGATCATCAAATATCTAGAAAAAATACAAGATACTTAGATAACCTTCTAGAATAAGTAACTTCTCATTACCTCATTTCCACCCCCAAATCAAGTGTTATAAATTCAGTCATACAAAGGAAATAAAAAAAGCGCGGGAGTCGATCAATAGTCGAACTCCCGATGAGAGGGTCTTTTGTGTCATATGATGGGCAACCCTATTGAGTCGACGAGGAACAAAACAATTAAAAACCCAGCTAAAGAGAGGAACCAAGCTCCAAGGGATCCTCCAAGATAGCTCCATCTCATTACCTCATATTTAAATAGTGCATTTACCATCAAATATATACGAGATAGTTGGAAGTTTCACTCTATTTATAATTTATTACATCTCACTTTTATCTCGTTCTCACCAACGAAAAAAAAAACTACCTCATTCTTACTAACATACATATAATTCGATGGGAAATTCTATCTCCAACTTTTTTATTTAGCACTCTAATCTTACCGTTATTTATCTGTATTAAGTATTAACCTCTGTCGGCTGAAACCTAAACCCTGCTTTTCATATATTAGGGCTTAGGCTTAAACCTTAATTAACTTTAACATTTGTGGGGAAGGGTACTTTTGGTATCTTCTCAAATACCACTTTCCCCGCACACACTAGAGACAAGACCCACTACAAAACGAAACTAAAAAACTAAGTATTTTTTGCGGACCGATAAAAGCCCATGGATAAAACCATTCGGGCCCAGTCCCACAAATCGGAGCTCATCCGGCCATCAGCTGATTCAGTCAGCCATGGTCCAAGTAACTGGAACCTCCCCGATATCCTTATTCAGGCCCAATGCCTTCCATACCGCCGGCGATCCGTCCACGATGTTGTTCTTGCACGGCGGCTGCCCGGCGTGCGCGTGATCACAACCTTGCATTGAGTCGCACTCGTCCACCACCGTCGCCTCCACGCTCTTCCCTTTGTGCATTATCCTTATCTTCTTCTTGCACCTCGACCCTCCATTGTACCTATGAGTCGAATTATAAGCATAGGGAGAATGAGTATATAAAAAAAAAGAGAGAATTTTCCTTAGTGACTTTTTCCAAATCGAAAACTTGAAGCCAAAATCTGTGTGTCAAAAACTATATACGCCGAATGAATTGAGTTTATATATAGCCTTAAACAATTAAATAACTTTACTGCTACGAAAAGCAAGAACTAAAAAAGTTAGCCGACTGGATCAGTAGAATTACAGAATAAATACGCTAGTGGTTCAGTTTATATGTTTGGACGGATAAGAAAGGACCGAAAACAACTTTTACTAATTGAACATGTAACTAGCTGAATCACCCCAATTCGAGTGGTTCACTAATTCACTATTTTTAAACGTAACCCAAAATTATCCAACCCGAATTACTAATTTTATTTGTCATTCCTCTTCTTCTTTTCCCAACCTCCTTTCTGACTTTACATGGTCCTTTAGTGATTGCCTCCCAATTTACTAAATTAAATTTAATTAACCTTTTATTTTTAAATTTTAATGAGTTAATTAATTTGAATGATCTGTTAGAACTCTTCTTAATTGTTGATATGAATCAGAAACTTTTTGTAACTAGTGATAAATTCATTCCTAATCTAGTGTATTATATTTATATGTGTCTTTTATATTATAACTTATGTTTTTCTAATCTAGTGTTATAACTTATATCCACGATTCTATAATAATTAATCGAAGAATCATTAACCACTAATTTTTCCGGTTCAGGAAAAGAGAGATGAGATAGAAGAGTAACTAACTAACTACACGAAAACGTACCATCCGGTGGACAGCGCAACGACCAAGTCGTGGTCGCTGTGGAACTTCCCGTCGCACTCCGACGGGTCCCCGCCGTCGCCGCCTTTCTCGAAGTTGTTGTACGTCAATATGGCCTTGGTGTGGGCCGAGATCGGCGGGGAGCACGAGTACGTCTTGTGGCCGCCGCATCCCATGATGGTAGCGTGGGGCTTGCAGGTTCCGCCGTCGTCGCCGCCGCCGCCGCCGCCGTCATCATCGCCGCCGCCGTTGTGCTTACGCTTTTTGTGGGTTTTCTTCTTCTTCTTGGTGGGCTTGTGCTTGCTTCTGTGTTCCCCCTCGTCGTCGTCGTCGCCGCCGCCGCACTTGTCGGAGCCGATGTCGGGGTCGTCGCCGCACTCTCCGTGGATGCAGATCAGTTTTCCCTCGCAGTCGTTCATGCTGCGGCAGTGGTCGCCGCAGCCGGAGATGGCGTCGGCGGTGAGGGGGAGATCGTGAAGGGACGGGGAGAGGAAGAGGACGAGGAGGAGTAGCGTTGCCAGTGAGTTTTCCATTATAGTAATGTGTTTTGAAAATGCAAGTCTCTTTGTTGTTTTGGTGAGTATTATGTTATATATAGTAATTAAGATGGAAAGAAGATGACGAGAAATTGAGACCGAAGTACAATGATCTCTAATTACAGAACGAGACAGAGATAAGGAAGAATGGGATCAAACGCCGGATCATTAAAAACAGATCGGGATAATCGACAATGCAAGGAAAGTAAAGAACACACTAGGTTTACGTGGTTCACTTGTTAACAGAACGGATTAAACAGTAACGGAAATACGAAACAGAGACGGATTTACGTGGTTTCCTTGATCGGTGTGATCAAGACTAGTCCACGGGCAATATCGGAGCTTCTTCTTATTATCTTAGTCGGCCAAGACTTCTCCAGTACATATATATATACATCACCAGGGACAACTCCCTTATTAACCCTAGCCGAACTACCCTAACAACATGGCCCAATCAACATTAAACCTGGCCATGCAACTACGTGGGCCTTTGGCCCTCTTTACAAGGTCGAGCTATCTCAACATCCTCCCCCAAATTGATGGGGAGACCTCATCATCAATTTGCGAGAGAGAAATGAATGACGACTGACAGTAAAAGTCTTTGTGAATAGATCGGCTAGCTGATCCTCAGAAGCAATGTAGTAGATGCGAATTGTACCATCCTTGACCAGATCCCGAATATAGTGAACGTGAACATCGATATGTTTAGTGCGATCATGAAGAACGTGATTCGTGGCAATACGAATCGCACTCGTATTATCAACATACAGTTCCATTGGTGACGAGCATTGAACATCAAGATCTGCCAAGAGACGCTGCAACCATTCCAGCTCAGAAGTAACATCCGACATCGCACGATATTCCGCCTCCGTGGAAGATTTAGAAACCCGATCTTGTTTCTTACACCGCCATGAAATAACCGAGTTACCAAGACGAATGCACCACCCAGTAGTGGAGCGACGAGTGTCAATACACCCAGCATAGTCAGAATCAGAGAATGCCTGGAGAACTGTCGACCCAGTAGACGGCAGAAATAGACCAACCTCACGAGTACCCTTAAGATAACGAAGGATTCTATGAACTGCATCCATGTGAGCTGTCCTCGGTGTACACATGAATTGACTGACGATTTGAACCGCATAGGCAATGTCAGGACGCGTAGAAGCTAAATATATCAGACTGCCAACCAAATGGCGATACTGCTTCCCTCCATCTGGTAACAAATCTCCAGTCTCTTTGCTCAACTTTAGATTAAGTTCCATGGGCGTAGAGACAGGGACACAATCACTATAACGAGCCGAATCAAGGAGGTCATCAATATATTTAGTTTGACTGAGAAGAATACCTGCAGATGACCTAGTAACCTCGAGACCCAAGTAATATGAGAGGGAGCCGAGCTCCTTCAGGTGAAAGGACTCGTGTAGACCTTTGGTGAGAGCTGCAATTCCCTCCTCATCATCACCGGAAATAATCATGTCGTCAACATACAAAAGAAGAACCACCAGGCCTCGAGATGTGCGTTGTGTGAACAAAGAGTGATCGTTGCTGCTTTGTCGGAAACCCATACCCAAAATGGTTGTCTGAAATTTATCGAACCAGGCACGAGGTGCCTGCTTGAGACCGTATAGAGACCGCTGCAAGAGACAGACCTGATCCGGAGTACCGAGAGGATAGCCAGGCGGACGCTCCATGTAAACCGTTCCTTAAGATCGCCATGCAAGAAGGCGTTCTTCACATCCAGCTGGTAGAGAGGCCAATTACGCATAGCAGCAACAGCAAGAAGAGCTCGGACAGTGACCATTTTGGCAACAGGAGCAAAGGTTTCATCGAAGTCAACACCAAACTCCTGTGTATAACCCTGTGCAACAACTCGAGCCCGATACCGCTCAATAGAACCATCGGGGTGGACCTTGATATTGTACACCCATCGACTGCCAACCACTGATATCTCAGGAGGAGGGCGAGGAACAAGAACCCATGTATTTTGTGCATGAAGAGCCGAAAATTCATCATCCATCGCCTGGTCCCAATGCGGGTTCCCTTTTGCCTGGGAATATCTAGTGGGTATCAAAATGGGATCAACCTGGAAGGATACGTAGTCCCGGTGAGAGAGAGGAGGCTGGCCGAGGTTGGAGCGAGCAGACCGTCGAGGCAGAACGGGAGCAGGTGGCGGGGACGGAGATCCATCGTCGTCGTCCGAGGAGGAATGACCAGGTGAGGAGGGGGCAGGAGAATGCGGAGGGGTCGGGGGCAGCGGTGATGGTGGTGTAGCATTATCATCAAACTCAACATCATCATCAGGAAACGAAGGAAGGTTTAAGGACGTAGCAAACAAAGGGGTGGACTCTGACGAGGTAGGATAAAACATCAAGTTTTCAAAGAAAACAACATTACAAGCAATCCTATGTCGTCGAAGAGAGGGATCATAACAAATGTACCCTTTGTGAACATCACTATAACCGAGGTAGACACAACGAGCAGTTTTCGAAGTTAACTTGGTACGCTCAGACCTAGGAAGAAGGACAAAACAGAGACACCCAAAAACCCGGAGACGAGAGTACGGTGGATGTTTAGCGAACAGTTTATAGTATGGACTGAGCTGATCAAGAACAGGGGTGATCTGGTAATTAATGAGACGTACAGCAGTTGACACGGTTTCAGGCCAGAAGGATGAGGGAACATGAGACGCTAGCAAAAGAGCTCGAGTGACTTCTACGACGTGACGATTCTTACGTTCAACAAGGCCATTTTGTTGGGAGACACCAGGACATGACTTTTGTGTAAGAATGCCAAGAGAAGAATAGAGATCGAGAAGAGGATGTGAACTAAATTCTCCTCCTGGGTCTGACCGAATGACTCGCACAGTTTTACCAAATTGGGTCTGAATCATTTTGAGGAACTCAGTGGCAACGGAAAGGAGGTCGGACTTTAAACGAAGGAAATAGACCCAAGTATATCTCGTGGCATGATCGACAAAAAGAGCAAAATATTTGAAGCCTAACCGTGATGTAGTGGGACTCGGACCCCAAAGATCAGTATGTATAAGGTGAAAAGGTTCAGAAATAATAGTAGCACTAGACGGGAAAGAAATACTCGTAGTCTTTGCTTCAACACAACTGGTACACGAAAAATCCGACCGTGTTACCTTATTCTTTTCACCAAACAATTGTTGATTAAACATGGTCATAAGCCGACTAGAATTAGAATGACCCAGCCGAGCATGCCACAACGAAAATGTTTTATCAGGAAGACTCGAAAAAACAGAAACAGAAGAACTCCTAGACACCGAAAGAGAACCAGAGGAATTTGATGATGATGGAGCGACGAGCCGATCAAGGTGGAAGATACGGCCATGCTTGCTGCCCCTACCTATCTCCCGCCCCGTCTTCAGATCCTGAACAGAGCACCCAGATGGTGCAAAAACAACCCGACAACCTTGATCAGTAAGTTGCCCAACAGAAACCAAACTAGGCACCAATTGCGGAACATAAAACGTATTAGTTAAGGCAACATTAGAATCCTTAACTGACCCCTTCCCTGCAACATTTAATCGAGTACCATTCGCCACTCGCAAGGACAGATTATGAACAGGCCGAACATTAGACAAAATAGAAGCTTGATTGGTCATATGGTTAAAACAACCGGAATCCAAAATCCAAGGAGGAACCTTACCCGATGCTTGTAGGCTAGCAAATGCAGAGTTTATAGCTTTATTAACAAGCTGTTCAAGAGCCCCAGGAGTAACCACGATCCCATCAGCACTAGGAGTAGCTTGGGCCGCATATGCTGGCCGAGAAGAACCCGTCACGTGAGCAGATGGGGAATTATTATTGTGGCCGACACCATTCATGCGTTGCTGAAGCAGGCGGCAGTCCGGGATGATGTGCCCGGATTTCTTACAGTAGACACAGAAGTTGCGACGGCGACAGTACTTTTGAGTGTGACCTTTCTCATGGCAGTGATGGCACGCCACTTCACGGCGTGGAGTTTGAGCCCTGTACGCCGCAAAAGCCTGATCAGAAGGAGCATCAGTGGTACCGCCAGGAGACAGAGCGCGGGTGGACGAAGATCGGCCGGCCTGGGATTGTACGGACGAGCCGCCTGGAACAGCAGCAAATATGGCAGCACTCTCGCCGTTGCCGGGGCGAGCATCAAGACTGGCCTGAGTTCGGAGCCGTGTTTCTTCACGGATAAGAGCCCCAAGCACCTGTTCCATCTTGAAGCCCTCGCGATTCAGAAGAGTGGATCGGACAGATACAAATTCCGGCCGCAACCGGGCTAAGAATTGAAGCAGCCGGGTCCTGTTTCGCTCGGCCTGGACAGCAGCTGATGACGAACCAGGAAGAAGAGCAGCGGTCAGGAGGTCCTGCTCAGTCCACAACCGGCGCGCGTCATTAAAGTAGGTCGTCACATCTTGATCGCCTTGGTGCAAATTGGCGAGCTCAACCTCCAGCTCAAATTGTCGTGCGACATTAGTGGTGGCGTAAGTCTCAGAGAGGGACGTCCACATAGCGGCAGCTGTGGGCAAAAGACGAAGTCCCAAAACAATCGAAGGATCCACGCTCTTCAAGATCCAGGAACGGACCCTCGCATCAGATTGCATCCATTTGGCCAGCTCGTTCTCAGAAGACGGGGGAACCTGTGGACGCGCTGCGGTGCCATCAAGAAAGCCAAAAAAACCTTGTCCTTCAATAAAAGTTCGGAACTGGAACTCCCACAAAGCGAAGTTCTTGGAATTCAAACGAGCATTGATAGCCTCAGTCTCCATTGCAGGCTCTGATACCATGTTAACAGAACGGATTAAACAGTAACGGAAATACGAAACAGAGACGGATTTACGTGGTTTCCTTGATCGGTGTGATCAAGACTAGTCCACGGGCAATATCGGAGCTTCTTCTTATTATCTTAGTCGGCCAAGACTTCTCCAGTACATATATATATACATCACCAGGGACAACTCCCTTATTAACCCTAGCCGAACTACCCTAACAACATGG